TAGAACGATATTGGCTTTAGTCGACAGTTAAGGTAAGTAACTACCTAAGGGTAGCTAGTGCACCGTTCAGACTAGTGTTATTGGCTGTAAGGTACATCTCCACTCTCATACACATCTAGCGTAGCATAAGTAAGCTTCGTTTATTTGTGTTTTTCGTTGCCTACTTTGAGGAGCGATTATTTATTTTTATGTGTGGCGCGAACGGCGCGCCGTCTGTGTGCGTTAGAGGCAATTTGATACGCGCACGCTTTGTGCACAGTAGATTTGTTATTGGTTTTTAATTAGCGCGATATTAATGCAATTTGTTATTATTAAAATCCAGTCGGGACGCACTCATTCAACGACAAAGCATTACCCAACAGACTGGAAATAATGCCCTAATGCCAAGACATTGTGAGTCCTCCCACCATAATCTTTTGTCTCGCCCCCTCAATGGGCGTCTATTGAACCAGGTGGTGTTTGATGGGAGTCTGTAGAACATGATGAGACTCACTTAGCATTTAGTTATTAAATACTTGAGCATGTGGCACACACACACACACAGGGCCAAGCAGGTGACTTAGATTCAGAAAATGTGTATGAGCTTGTGTGTGTAAGTCCCGCATATAAACTGGCAAATAAGTTGAGGCAGGTGAATTAAATGCAAGGTAAATATAATATATGCCGCACACACGCACTCACATACATAAAGTACATACATATGTGCTGACACGCACGCCAGCCACTTCAGTTCACGAGACTGTCTAACAATCCGTGCTGGTTATTTGGCAGCCATGTTCGATGCGTAACGTTAGAGTTGGTCGTCACGAAACTGGCACAACAGGCCAAAGAAACCTCTTAAATGTGGGTGTGTGGATACTTCTACCCAATTCTCGTTTTCATTCTCTCTCACACACGCGCGCACAGTATGTGTGAGAGAGCGTAGGTGTTTTTATTGAAGTGCGTGGCAAAACACTTTAACTTGTTGTGCAAATAGCAGTAGCACAAAACTAGGCTACGACGCCAAGGCAGTAGCGAACACACACACACACACCCAACATACAACCATTTCTATACAAACAGATGTGCGTAAGAAAGCGTCACAGTACATGCGATGGCGACGGCTGATGCTAGCCCAAAACAAAAACAGCTTTGCTTTAATAACGAGCACTGACCAATAAATGCTGGAGCACACACCCACCAATGGCAAACACAGCCCCACACACATACACAACACCACACAATAGTATGCTGGCCATGTGCTTAACTATTTGTGTTACCGAAGAAAGCAAGCAAACTTTGGTTATGAGCAGCTTTTGTGTATTTGAGTTTTTTTTCGATTGATTTGGAACCAGTTTTCGGAGCTGTAAAGTGCCAAGAAGCTCATGAACGGACTCGTTTACACAAATCATGAAGTTTTATTTACTTTCTTGTTAGTTATCTGATATATTCACGTTTAAATAAATCATTAATTAGTGCATTACTTGCATACATATATACTATATATACATATATACATATATTCGTATTGTGAAGAGAGTTAGCTGCTGATAAATATACATCCAATAGGCTTTATGAATCAACAAAGAATTTTTGCTGAAGAAATTGAGCAGCTATGAAACAGTGCTGATCAAGGTAAATATGAGACCTTTTTTAATGGAAAAATGGGGGCTACTTATTTTGAAGTTTGCCTTCGCAATAATAACTCGGAAATAACTTACATTGCTGAGCACACGAAATAATTTCATTGTAAATCGTTTTTATTTATAAATTTCTCGAGTACTCCCGTTCCCACAGCATTTCATCAAGCTGCAAGACTTAGTTCATTTTATTGGAATCGCACAACTCGAGTGGATGTTTGGGCGTGTTGGGTGTAAGGTCGTTGTTGTGGGCGCCACGTGTGCTGCTTGCCAAGTCGTTGGTTGCCTTTTTGGTCGGCTACTGTGCCCTGCTAGTTGATTTTCAGCAGACGAGTTAAGTTTATTTTGCTCGTACCCAGGTGCGGCAGTCAGCTCTTTCCTTCACCTGGCATTGCTCACATATTTCCTGCTCACATATTTCCTCTACGTTTTTTTCTCTCCAAATCTTTGTGTTCGCTGTTGTTGTTGTTGCTATTGTTGTACAGCATGCTGTTGGGCAACTGAAGCGTAAAATGTTGATGAAGTACCCGCTCCGACTTGTTACACATCACGTGAATGTTTAGCCATGTTTAGTAGCAAACTTTTTCATGTTTTTATGTCGTACTGACCGGTCGAACATAAAACGGGTTACTATTCTGTCTACTTGCAAATTAGTTGGCCCAAACAACAAAAGGTGTCCTTATGTAATTCTAAGTTGTTTTTATTTTATTTTTGACAAATAACTAAAGTTTATTTTATGCATAAAACAAATTTATTTTAGTTGCTACACTTTTTCGGTGTCTCCCCCTCCCTCTCACACACATATTTTATTTCCCATATGCATGGGAAACAGCAAACAAGAACTGGTCACAAAAACGCTCCAAAAAGTAAAAGTTTTGCAACTAGAGCATGACATGATACAAAAGTGCAACAACATGAAGAACTACTTGTATTCAGTTCCAAGGACAATATAACCATGTTAAATAACAATCAGAATGGAAATACAAACTGCTCGCTGGTAATTTTGCATGCAACATTTAATGTCTGTGGCAAGAGTGGCGCTGATTTGGGCAGACAACTTTTTTTCTCCCCCATATCCTCTCCTATTGTTGGTGCTGTTGTTTTTGCTTTGTGCCGTTTGCGCCAAAAAACTGTGTCGCTAAACTTTTTGGGCCGCAGCAACTACAATAACAACTACAGTAGCAGTAACAGTAGAAGTAGCAGCAACAGCGCCAAATTAAATGAAATGTATACAAAATTTACTGCAGCAGCGTTGGCGCACTCGAAAATTTGAGTGAGTGCCTGACTGCATAAAAAGCAAGCAGGCGGGCATGAGGCGTTTGCCAAAATGAACAACAATGTGGCAGTCGTTGCTGCTGCCGCTTGTAATTTTTTCTTGTTGTTTCCCTTTTTTTGATTTTTTGTTTGTTTATTGGTTGTTGTTCTGCGCAGTGTTGTCTAAAGTTTGAAGTGCGCATAATAACCCAGGCGGTGGTAAGCTGTTGAGAGTGGGTGAAGGAGGTGGATGCGATGCGGCTGCAAAAACTACAATTTGCGCGCTGCAGATACTGCGCTCAAAAGTAGGCAACACTTTTGTGCAACTAGATTAGTGCCGAATAAGGGGCTAATAATCAAACACACAGACACTGCGGCGGTCTCTTTGAATGTTGCAAAGGGGTGGCCAACAGGAATGTTGCCTCCGGCTTCGGCTAGTTGCTGAACTAAATAACACAGTGACCAAAAAAAAAAAAAAAAAAAGAACAAAATACGCAAAAAGTGAAGGGTTCTTTAAAAATGAAAGCTATTGATAGGTTGAAATATGACTGGGTTTTCAAATCATATATACTAATTCTAAGTTCTATTTATTTTTATACCCTGTACCCGTAGGGTAAAAAGGGTATATTAGGTTTGTGCAAAGTATGTAACATACAGAAGGAAGCATCTCCGACCCCATAAAGTATATATATTCTGAATCAGCATGACGAGAGAAATCGATCTAGACATGTCCGTCCGTCTGTCCGTCTGTCCGTCCGTCTGTCCGTCTGTCCGTCTGGATGAACGCGAGGATCTCAGAAACTATAAAAGCTAGAATAACCAAAGTTGGCATCCAGATTCTCCTAGATCCGAGTAAGGACGAGTTTATTTTTTTTTTTTAAATTTTCCCCCCCTTCCCCCGCTACAGAATTTCGTCAATAGCGTCCACATTTCAAATGCTACCTAAACCAAACTTTGCACACATAATTTATATATAATTATGTACTGTTGTTTTATTCAATTCGGTCAATTCTAAGAAAAGTTATTAGCGAAACAAATTCTCGCCAGTACAACCCCCGCAAACTGCAGCAACAATTTTGCTCTTCTTCTTCCTCTTTTTGCTGCTGCTTTGGGCGCATATAACTCAGTGACGGAAGTTTACCTGGGTACAGGGTATTACACTGTCGGGCTTGCTCGACTGTAGCGTTCTCTCTTGTTAGGTTTGTGAAAGCAAATTCACAATTCACAAATCACAAAGTTTTAAATTTTGAGGGCCCAAAATTAATCTACCAATTCAATACAAAGACAAAAATGAAAATGCCCGCTGTGGATAATAACAATATGTAATTGTATAACATGTGTGAAAATCGAAAAATTATTTTAAACAAGTTATACTAGTTTCGTTCAAGATTCGATATCAAGGGCGAGTTTATTTTAATTGTTCGGCAACAACAACGAAATACTAAGACTACTATAAACTGCGAAAAGAAAGACAGTGGAATAATGCTTGCTAACAATCTGTTCCCACCTTTTAGTAGAGACTTATCTCTGTAAATCTGATGATCAGGTACGCTTTTTGGCTCTTAGCCTTACCCAACTATTAGACTTCATTAGTACGTGCGCTGCCTGCTGGAGGTCCTGGCATGCAATCGGCTAATTTATTAATGCACTTAACGTTTTTTGTCTAATTTGTTTTTGCATGTGTTTTCTTTATTTTGGCAAAAGCAAATAATAATTAACGCTCTTTCTTTCCCACTTCTTCTTCTCCATCTCATTTGCAGTCAGTTCCAAGTGCAAAAAGTGGCAGGAAGGCTTGCGGAACGTGGAACGTGCGTCAAAAGCTCAACTAAACAATGCAACAATTTGCACACATAGCACACCTCAATGCGCCGTGGAGGCAGCGGAAACTGCATAAAAGTTATGCCAAAGGCAAAAAAAATGTACATGAAACAACTTAATTAGTAGTAGTAGTAGTAGTCGACGTCGACTTATTTGTTGTTCTTGTTGCTGCTGCACTTGCACAAGAGAAAAGCAAGGAAAGGCAAAGGCAAAAAGCCGAGTGCCTAGTGCTGAGCAGAGTGCTATGTGGCAGGAGCCAAGTGCCAAGAGGAAAGTAGAGGGGAACAAAGCAGCTTGGAAACTGGCACACCCAGCTGGCATTACAGCGAAATTTAAGAAATATTTTCTCATGTTACTTCATTAGTGTGCGCAAAATGCTTAATGCCCAACAGCAGCAATAGCAATAGCAGCAGAGCAATAGCAGCAACAGCAGCAGCAATAACCAACTGCCAGCAGCAAGTACTGGCAGCAGCTTAGCCTGCAGTAGACACACCGCGGTAACTTTTGTTTTCGGCATCTCGTGTGTACGTGAGTGTGCGTGTGTGTGTGTTTGTATGTGCGTGCGAGCAAATTAAATTGCAAAACTATACACGACGACGAGCAATTGCAGTGAAACCAGAAACGTAAATACGATAAGCATACCTACATACATATAGAATATATAAAGTCGGGGAGAGTGCAAGAAAGAGAAAGAGAAAGAGAGAGAGAGAGAGAGAGAGGGCTGCTTCAAACCTGAATATAAATGATTATACCATACACAATGGATTTGCAAAAACTGAAAGCTGTAGCGCAAGCAGCATCGAAAGCCAGAACTAAAACGAAAGCGCGCAATTGCCATGCAATACAAACAAATGTAACAACTTCACCTTCAAAGTCCTCCTGCTCCTGCTCCTTCAACAACTCCAGCGTCCCCACTTTCAACTGCTGCTGCTGCTTAAACTCCACAATAGCAGCAACAACACCACCATCGTCATCATCATTATCAACAACACCAAGAGCAACGATAGCAACTATAGTGGGCGGCTTTAGCTTCCGCTTCAACCCAAAATCCTCTTCGTCTATTTGGCGATTCTATTTGGCGCTACTGACGCTACTCGTATTCGTCGCGCATATCAACTTAACTTCCGGTCAAATCGATTGGGACGACGATGATGATCCAGGTGAGTGGCACGTGAAATACATATAACAGAACAATAACAAACAATAGAGCTTCCACAAGTTTTCGTTTTGGTTGGAGCAGTGATTTGCATAAATTCCAAATGCCAGACAAGTTCAATAGCAAAGTAAACAAAACCAATTACAGCAACACCAACAAAATCGACAACAACAAAATTGATGTATACTTTTTGCATTCGGTTGTTGGTTATGCTTTTGTAATTAAGTTTAATTATAAAGCGTTAGAGAGCGGGTTTTAATTAATCTCAGATTTATTGCTTAAGGTATGCCTCGAATAGCAACACAAATGGAATTTTAATTATTCAAAAGCTACAATTGAAATATTTAATGAATTCATAAGTCTGGCAGTTTTATTGCTTAGAGTTTGGCACGCACGCACAGAAATGTTGCTACATGGGCGTGAAGAAGCAAAAAATTAAGAATACTCGTAGACCTAAGGTAGATGGGCAGCGGCATATATACAATTTCCTAAGCTTACGATTGCTTTAGGAAGATGTGAGTGGGTGGGCGGGTGAGTGTTATCTGCTGCTGATATATGGGCAAGTATTATTTGTATTCGTTTCCAATTGTTATGTTGCTGTGTCTTATAAATACATACATACATTATTCTCAGTGCGCTCTGCTTCTTTTTAAATCTGCACGATGGGTGTGGAGTGAAAGCAACTGCCTCATTGCCTGTTTCTATTAAATGACTACAAATATAGGTTTAAAATAAATAAAAAATGCTGGAATTAAATACAGAAAATACAAATAGGAGTTGAAATAGATTGGAAAGAAATGTTGCATATATTGCTGGAAATATATATCGACAGCAATATTTCACTCAGGACTTAAAAGGTATTACTTGTATAGCATAGAGTTCATAGTTGTTTTGTTCAAGAGAGAAAAGATATATTTTGTTGCATTTATTAGTTAATCGGGATGAGGTTTTAAACACAACTAGCTTGAATTCATTTAAGAAATTATAATAAAATGTTCCACTTTTGCTGCCGTACTGACAACAAATAGGATATCAACCGCTGTAATAGATAACTGGAAGTAGATTCGAAAATATGATAACATACGGTAGAATCTGTTGCTACGCTGTAAATGGAGGTGACCAAAATTGCTTCGGTATTTCTGTCCAGATTTTATTTTATTTTCGTATGAAAATATTATTAGATCTGACTTAAATTATACATATATATTATTATCCCAATAACTTTCAAATAAACGTGTGTTTATTTTTAAACAACATATATTTAAATAGGTTTGAACACCCTTTATTGATTCTATACCCATTGTGCGTCGCCCAAGTCTCACTCCAGGGCACCTACAAGCTAACGATGCAAACTAAAAATGTTGACAACAAACATTTTTCAAGCTGTGCCCGCGTCCTTGTTGTACCTGCTGCTCTGTTGTTAACAGCGTTTGTTGTTGTTCAAAGGCTGGCTTTATAAAGAGATATTGTTGTTGTTGTTATACCCCCAGTGATGTACACGTGTGTGCGCACGTTACATTCGGCTCAGAGATAGAAGCAGACAGGACGGCCCGCTGTGATTCCAGTTTACTCGTAGCTTGGTGTGTTCAACATTTTTACAACATTTACAGTTGAAAAATATGGTTTTGCATAAAATTTTATATAAATATAGCGAACTGGGCTGGTGGAAGGGGAATACCGCATCGCCCCTGTCCCTTTTAGCATCGTTTTGTACCACTCAACCAAATAAAAATGCGACACGGCGTTACGTTTAAGTACCAGCCAGACGCAAGAAAAATTACAAAATTAAACTAGAGAGTAACAGAAAAAACAGAAAAAAAAACAGAAAAGCCACAAATTTGCGGGGATTGGGCAAGCCGGGGCAATAAACAACTCGACTACAGTCAGTGCCAACACTGTGAAATTATGAAATCATAAAAGAATTTTTACGATTTCCTATAAAAAAAAAAAGTTGAGCGCAGAGAGTGGGTGTGAGGTGCCTAGCCAAGACATAAACCATGCCGACAGGCAGGCGGGCTGGCAGGCTGGCAGGCGGAAAGGTCTGTCGCAGCATTTTTAGCAATTGCGTGATAACGTAAAATTCAACTTTAGACATATGACTTCATTATTTATCAAACTTGTGCGGCTTGCAAATAGCAAAGAGCGCCACATACTCACTACATAGTTGGCTGAGCCCCACCTTGCCTTAACCCTAGCCTAACCGGTTGCCAAGAACTCAATCCCATATATCCAAATTACGCATGTCACACAACGAAAATAGGAATGAAAAAGCCACATTTGAACAATTTCATTAAAAATGTGCCGCACACAGCCCCATACACAAGCACACACATATATACGAGTATAGTATAGGTAAGCACAGGACGAAATATTTGCCAATGCTTTTTTGACGCTCTTTAGAAATTTCATTTGTTGAACTTTGTCTGTGTGTTTGTGTGTGTGAGTATGTTTGTGCCTGGTTTTAACCCTTATTAGCCTTTGCCTCCTCTGGCTATAATTCATGTTGTTTTCATTTGTTTTGATTAGCAAATGAGTGCCGAGCAGGGCAGCATGGCAGCATGGCAGCAAGGCATCTAGGCAAGCAGGCAGCCATCTAGGTCGAAGGATGGGCCAGCGTGTCGGGAGCGACAGCGCGAAAATGTTACCCATTTTTGTGTTCGGGCCTTTTGGCTGTTGACTGTTTGCTAACAAATCATAACGTGACTCGAGTTGGCAGTAAAATTTGAGTATTTGTACATTCGCACACACTTACACTCTCTGCTGAGCTCTTGCTGTCTCGCTTTTAAGCTTCGTGCCTTATTTGCCACGCAAACTGTGAAATGCTAGAATATGAACAACAACAATAACAGTAACAACAACAACAACAATAACAATGTAGTCAGCCAGGCGAGCATAAAAAATTTTAATTTATGCCGTGTTGAGTGCGTTATGCCCTAATTCTCTACAAGTGCCAACTTTAGAGTAGGTAGTAGTAATGCATACAATGTAGATAGGCCGAACTGTCAGACACTTTACAAGCAAAACACACATACACTAAGGACAACAAAGCCTGAGATTAAAAGGAGTTGGGGGATTGTTGTATTACAAAGTACAAAAGTAGTCGAGAAGACTATATGAAGGTAGCCAAAATGATTTTCTTGAAAGTGCATCTCACTAATAAGAGCTTTCAGAATTTATTTGAGCTTGAAATAAAATAATTTTAAAATTCGAAATGATTCTATTCAGATAAGGAATTACATCAATTCCATTTACAATGGAATCGAAATCAAAGTATAACTCTGTTCCTGATTTTGCAAAGTTCTGTTTTACAAATAAATGTGAAATAAATTAATAATATGTTTTTATTTATTCGCACAGTGTATATTCGTGTGCACATATGGGCCACAACTCTTGAGTTTATAGCTGAGGATTGAAGTTGGTGAGCTGTCGTTATAAGTCAAACCTTAAATCGGCACTTCTGGCCCGAGCTCCATGGCTCATTTTGTTGTCGTTGGTCGTTCGGCATTTGAAGTCGCAGTTCGTGGTTTATTGTTGCCGCTGTCGTTCTATGTTTCAAAATGTTGGATTTGCTTTAGGCACGCGATATTTTTCTTTTTTGATAGAGTCGAGCGCCACGTTGGCGAATTGTGTGGACTTGGGGCAGCCCAAAATATGTAAAAATTATAATTCATTTTACATATTTGTTGAAACACATTCAATCACTCGCCTGCCAGCGCCGCAACCCAATAATTACGCATTTTCGCCGTGTGGGTATTATTTTTAATGATAAATGACCCGGGGCCAAAGTGTTGGCAAAATTTGGGGTTACACCGAAAATTTAACTCAAGGGGTGTTTATGCGCTATTTGAAGCTTCGTGTTTGTCCCGTTCCCGCTTCTCTGCTGGCAAGGTGCTATCGTAATATTGTGTCAAAAATACTTATCGCTCCCCAGGCAGTAGCAGCGGCAGTAGCACATGTGCCTGCTTCACAACAAAGCCATTTGTCATTTGTCAGAACCTAATGCAGTTAATAATTAACTAAGCAAGGTGTATTTACGCTTACGTTAGTAGGTGGTGCGACCTTTAGCTGGCCTTAAAATAGAGAATTAATTACTCAAAAGAAGAAGTTAGCTCAATATTGAAACATTTTTCTGTATTGGTAACTTTTAAATAGATCCAGAATATAGCAGTACACAACAATAAGAGTGAATCGTGACTAAATATGACCCTGCAAGCAATTTCTTATTTCTCAAAATTTGTTTTCAAACTAAAATTAGCAATAAGCTTTATTATTCCACCTTTAAATCTAAAACACTGACACTTGGCAAGCTGGTGCAGAAATTAAGGCAGATTTAACTCAGCGTTTCAACAGCTCATAACCATAAAGTGTTAACTTTCTTAGCTTAAACCAAAGCGTTTCGTTTGTCATGCAAGAAAGAACAAATGGTGGTATATAGAAAATCACGCGAGATTCAAGACAGCGATTGTCGTTGCTGTCTCCACCACTGTTCCATAACCCCCTCCAGGACAGCAGCTATCTACTCTATACTCGTACACTAAAACTGTTCACTTTTGCGAAACGTATAAATTTTCTATTGATTTATGCCAAGTTCGCATGGCATTTTTTCCGTTTTGCATAATTTCTGCTGCTAGGTAGACAGCAAGGCAGCCAGTCAGCCAACACACAAGGCCAGGATAGAAACGGCCCATTCTCTGGCAATGGAACGTCAGTTTTTGAGTCGGCAGACGAGTGACGCAAATGCAAACACAATTGTTGCGACAGTCTCATCGCGGTCGTCGCTCGTTGCTCGTTGGTCGGCGCTCGACGCTCGGCGTTCGTTGGTCTTCTGCTGTGACTTACACCATCATGCCAACTGTGACCGTAGCTGCGAGAGCGAAAGCGAGTGCGGCATGAATTGCGATGATGGAGTTATCCATTTATACTCGCATTTGCATACAACGACGACCAGAGACCAGAAAGCGCCAAATGTGCCGCATGCGTCTGTGATTGCCGCTGGCTGTGGCA